CGTTGTTATCGTAGCCCCGGAGGTCCGCTCCCTGGGTTGGCCAGAGGGCCGCAGGCCCCAGCGCGCACACGGCTTCGCTGCGCCATGCCGCCGCGGAGCACTTTGCCTTCGCGAGTGCCCCCGTCAGCGTGCACCAACAAGTTCCAGTGGAGGCTAGTCTACAAGAGTCCTTCGACAAGAAACCCAACCCTGAGACCCCAGGACTCCCAATTCATTTTTGGCGTGGGAACCTCGCGCTCTCCACCTCAAAACCATAGAAATCCAAGAAAACCCAGGGCACCCTGGCGGCAAGCAGCCTAAGAGACGGCCTGCAAAGGCTGCCACACGCCACGAAAACGTCACGGGTGTCTCTGTGGTCTCCCCGATGGCTGGGGGAACACGCAGTCCACCAGCGTGGCCGCACTTCCGCTCGACGCTTCCACGACACGGGCAATTCCAAGAGGCGCAGGGGCGGCGGTGACTCGCCAATGGCGTCTTCGATCCGCCACCGTACCGCGAGGCGCTGGGCGGAGTGCCTTCAGTTCCCTGCGAGCTCTCTGCACGGAGGACTGCACATCGGCCACCGTGCCCCCAAGTACGTCGAGGCGTGGTGCCTCCCTCCTTCCTCCTCCTCTTGCTCTTCCTTCTCATCTCCCTCCTCCTCCTCTTCCTCCTCCTCCTCCTCCTCGTCCTCCCCCTCCAGAAACATCCCCCCACATCGGGTCCGGGTGGATGGGGTCGAAGGATCGCGCCGCATCGCCGATGCACTGCTGCTGCATTGCCTATGCATCGGCGATGCGAAGTGATCCTTGGACGCCATCTACTCCGACCCCACATGGGAGGCCCAGATCTTTTTGGAGTCCCGAAACAGTGCGGTGACGGACCGTGCGGTGACCTCGAAATCCCCGAAGATCTCACCGCACGGTCCGTCACCGCACGGTCTTGGGACACCGGAAGCCACTGTCGCCGGAGACATCTTCGGAGAACGACCCGAGTCCCAAAACCGTGTGGTGACCCCGAATCCCCACCGACTCACCGCACGGTGTGGTCACCACCCCGTTTGGGGGCCCCCGAATCTCCCTCATCATCCTCATCATCCTCACCACGGCGTTCCCAAGCCCGGGGGACACAGCATGCCACACGTGACGACCTCCCGCGTTGGGCACGGGGCGCTCGGCAGGCCGTCGCGCCGTGGCGCGACTGCTCGAGGGCGCCTGGGCCGTGCCCCCTCAGCAATCGCCATCCAGGAGCCGCTCTTCTATCCTTTGCGATGACGCCCGTGACCAGCCCCGCCCCCGCCCCTCCCCCGCCCCCTTGATAACGCCATGATACGCGCTGTCGCCGTCTGGAACTGGGCCATCATCCCTGGGCATTTCCAGACGGCGCCGGCGCGAATCGTGACATGACCCGCCCCCTCCCCCCCTACACCCTCCCCCCTTTCCCCCCGGTCACGCGCTATCGCCAGGGGATAAAAAGCTGTCTCCAGAATACTGGGCTTGGCGGGACTTGCCGCAAGCAGCTGGATACTCTTCAAGGCCCACAACTCACGGGTCCCTCGGGGTGTGCCGCGTGACTTCCCCGAAGCCTTGGGGAAGCGTGGCTTGGAACCCCGTCTTAGGGCTCGCTTGGAGCCTCTAGCGACGTTTTGGAAAGCCTGGGGGCCAGCCCAACAAGCCGACTTCATTGATCAACCTGTAGCGTTTGTATGTTTTTCGAGTGCTTGCCTTCTCGGCCCATGACGGCCAAAAGAGAGCCCCAAGGCGGCCCTCAGGCCCCAAAGAGGCCCCAACAAAACGGCCTCAAGAAGGTCCCGAAGAGGGGGAATTCAAACAGATGGCCCCCAAGAAACCCAAAGAAAAAAGACAAACTAGCGTGGACATAAACTTACGGAAGTCCGCGTGGATTCCTTGGATCGGTGCTGACCCCCCCTCCCTGGCGCGTGCTGAACGCGCAACGGGCGGCGCCAGAAGCGCCGCCAGGGGGCCCAGCGCCACTCAAAGAAATCCGCGCGGAGCTTAAACAGTTCATGTCTATGTGTTCTCCTCCGAAAGAGCCTGTTCAATCTTACTCGCGATGACGGGCGTGATCGGGGGAGGGGGGATGGGACTTCGCCCCCCCCCCCCCCCCGGATCACATAACGGCTGGGGGACGCGGGGAATCTTAGGCACTCCTCGAAGAATCCGTAGGACATCTCTTTGCAAATGTAGGCAAAGCAGCATGACTTGATCCGAGGGGGGGGGAGAGGGCCGACCACGGCCGGGATCGCCCAGACCTCCGAAAACAGGCCCCAAGAGGCCCCAAGATCCCGCCAAGAGGCACCGAGAGCCCTCCAAGAGACCTCCCAAGAGGCCCTACGAGAGGCCTCTGCCCCACGGGTCTAGGCACGGGGGCCCGCATGGACCGAAGGTCACTGCATAGATCGGTCCCCCCCGCAGCCTGCCGGAGCGGTGCTGGGCGCGCGGGGGCATACGACTCGGCTGCACGCAGGAGTGCCCCCAGGTGCAGTGGGACGCAGGCCAGAAGAGCACCCCTCAAGAACATGAGGCCCTCCGTCGGCCAGAACCCAGAGAACATACAAGGGTACCCTGCCCAAGATGCACAAACACCTCCGACAAGCACGAAGAACACCAGGGCACCCTCCCCGGACCGACTTCGAGCTTATACCCCAATCGACCTGTACAACGTTCTGGACCCTACCAAAAGGCAAGACCAGTCAGCACCGAGTCGGAACATCGGATCGGATCGAAATCTGCGTCGGATCGGGCTGCATCGATACGGAGTCGAAATCGAATCAGATCGGCTGCGCCAAGTTGTGCAACAATGCCCGTGCAAGCATCGGGCCGCATCGGATCGTCTGGATGCCCGAATCGAATCGGATCGATCTGGCCGTAATCGATGTCGAATCGAATCGATCGGATCAAAAAAGACCCTGAAAGATGCCCGGTTGCTTGGGTGCTTTGCGTGGTGGCGTGCCATGGTTTTGAGGATTCTTTGGCCCTTCCAAAAGAACACCACTTGGGTCTCGGCCAGTACCGCCAGCTACCAGCAAGGCCAGCTACCAGCGAGGCCGCGTCCCAGGTATCTCCCATCGGCGTTCCTGGCGAAGATGGCTCCAGGAGGGCCTCCAGGAGGGCCTCCAAGACGGCCAGGATGGCCCACGATGGCCTCCAACACGTTCCCAGCCAAGATGGCCCCAATGGCCCAACATGGCTCCAAGGCGGTCCCGAATGGCCCCAAGGCCCGAAAAGCCCCGATGCGGCCCAAGACAGCTCAAGGGAGCCCTCGAGGAGGGCCCGCAGAAACCACGTTCATTGAGGTTCTGGCGTTTTTTTCCAAATGGATTTGATTACCTAACATCGTTTTCGAACTTCCGCCTTTCAAAGCTTCTGGCAACCCAATGCGGCCCCAGATGCCTCCAAGATAGCGGCCCTGAGACGGCCCAAGAAGCCCCCACGAGGGTCCCAAGATGAGGCGAAAGGTACCCAAGACGCCCCTAGAGAAGCCCAAGAGACCCCCGAAGGATCATACAGCGCCTCAAAAGGGCCCCAAGACGTCCCCGAGAGGCTTCCAAGACGGCTTCCGAAGGAGTCAGACTCCTCCTCCTCCTCCTCCTCCTCCTCCTCCTCCTCCCTCCTCCTCCTCCTCCTCCTCCTCCTCCTTCTCCTCCTGTTCAGCTTCTCATCCTCCTCCTCCTCCTCCTTCTCTTCGTCTTCCTTCTCCTCCCTCTTATCCTCCTCTTCCCCTGTCCCCCGCGAAGGCCGAGTTGGGTTTACACAAGGGTTTCGGGAACACCGAGCCCAACAGCTTGACCAGGCGTTGGCCCAACGCATGGCCACATGTTCTGGCGTTTCCGCAAGGCAGGGGGCGGCGGTGGCTCGCCACAGGGGTCTTCGATCGTGGAACCACGCTCGGCAACCCAACCGCGCTTTCAGCGCGCCCGGACGTATGACAAAGTTGGCTTACGCTCGTTGGCATCGGCGTTTTCCAACACGCAGGAGACGGCGGTGAGATTCGCCGTGTAGGCGTCCTCGATCCGCCGCCTCCGGAGCCTGCCCGGGGGGTATGTTGGCGTGCTGCTGAGGTTCGTGGCTCTCTCTTGCCCTTCAAGAGGGTTCCCGATGCTCTTCTCGGCGGCGAGCGAGGGGGGAAAGTGAGAAGGAGAAGACCTTCTCAGAAGGCTCGGAAGTCCCCAGGCCTTCCGAGAAGTTTCCCTGGCCTTCCCCGAAGACAGACAACAACTTCTGAGAAAGCGCGAGGGGCTCTGAGAAGTCCCGCCGCCTTCTGAGAAGGCCTTCTCCTTCTCATTTTCCCCCCTCGCTCGCCGCCGAGCAGTGGCAAGGATGGATCACGGTTCTTTTCCAACATGGGGCTCCCGCCCAAGAACTCCGCAATCTAATCAAAAAGAGCGATTGCTGAGTTTCGACCTGGATATGTTCTCCCTTGGGACTGCCGCGACGAGCACGGCCATGCGTGTAAGCTGGTGCCACGGTCCCACGGACTGGAGGATCCTTCTCCCAAACGGGTGCGTATCTCAACTCCTCGATCTGCGTGATCGTACCGTTCCGCATGCCGTCCCTGGCGCCAGAAGGGGTGCAAGGCAATTCCTTGTCGCAACGGGGCTCTCGCCGCAGTGGCAGGCCCATGGGGTGCTGGTCTTCCAAGGGGGGCGGGCGCAGCCAGTGGTAGAAAAGGAAGGCCTGTAGGGACTTGCGAGGAGGGGGCGCGGGACGGGAAGCTGCACTGCAGCATCGCTGATGCACCTCGGGCTCATTTTGGTCCTAATCCTCCTCCTCCTCCTCCTCCTCCTCCTCCTCCTCCTCCTCCTCCTCTCGCTTCTTCTCCCCCGAGTGTTCCCCGAGGGTTTCCACGACGTCTTCGGGAACACGTAGACCAATAGCTTGGTCAGGCTTTGGCTCCACGCATGGCCGCATGTTCTGGCGTTTCCGCAAGGCAGGGGGCGGCGGTGGCTCGCCATAGGGGTCTTCGATCGTGGAATCATGCTCGGCAACTGGACCACGCTTTCAGCGCGCCCGAACGTCTGACAAAGATGGCTTACGCTCGTGCGCCCTCAACTGCATGCACTGCGGGCACTCCATGCCGGCCCTGCGGAAGCAGACGGCATGATAGAGAACTTTGCAGCGCCTGCAGGTGATGCACTCGTCAACCTGGAAGGCATAGACAGGCCTAGCTGACAGGCACAACAAACATGTCTGAGCATCAACCTTGCAAGTCGGACATTCGATGATGTGCTCTGCAGCCTTTTTCACGAGATCCTTCAACTTCTGGAAGAAATCGCAATACTTCCCTTTATTTTCCAATTGGATAAGGTCTTCCAGCGTGTACAGGTCATGGCCTTGCATCATGTGCGACGGGAGCTGCTTGAGCAACATGTCCAGCAAGACCTTTATGAAATCGCAATCGCTGTCGGCTGCGATCTCCCTGATACGAGAGAGTTTCTGGCGGAGACCGTGAACCTCTGTTAGGGCTGCCTGAGTCGTCAACTTCGTCCGCCTGATCTCGGTGATTGGGATCAGCGGCTGGTCATTCTGCATGTCCAGATACTTAGCGGCCTCGTGGCAGACTTTGCGAGGGCCGAAATCCCAGCGCTCCACCACGCGCGCTGGAATCACCCGCAGCTCGCCCCGGTGGCAGCCGCCACAGAAGTAGCTCCCGAGGTAATGGCAATACCTTTTTGGACGCCCGAAGTCGGCACGGAAAAATGGGCACAATGCCCAACAACAAGTGCTGTCCAGAACCGACAGCAGCCGCTGTCTGGCAGGCGGCTCTTCTGGCTTCAGCGAACAGCGTCCGCGGCGGCGCGGACAGCGAGCCCTGCTCCAACGGAACAGGAACTGCTGTGAGGCATCGTACCCGGTCTTTCCGCACCCGTCTCGATCGTCCCGAACCTCGGCTGGCTCATCAGGGACGCCTGCAGGCGCGCCCGGCAGGCCGGGCAGGCGCCCCGCTGCGGCAGCGGCGGGCGGGGCGGCAGCCGCAGCCGCCACTCCAGGTGCACGCCGAAGGCAGAAGGCATCGAGGGAACGTCCAGCCGAGACCCTCTGTCGCCCTGGCTCCCCAGCACGGAGGCGCCGGACACCGACTGGATGGAGGAGAACTCCGAAGAGCCGGAGTCGGAGAAGGCGTCGTCCTCGTAGCCCAGGAGGCCACCGTCCACGGATGCGCGCAGAGAGGAAGAGCCGCGAGGGGTGACTGCAGTGCTCGAGGGTGGTGATCCGTAATCCGCCGACCGCCGCTTGCTGGAGGGGGGGAGGCATGTGCGACGTGTGGCTGTCACCCTGGTCCCCCTCTCCCTGGACGTCCAAGGTCCAGTTTACGGGTCGGGGGAGGTCCCGCTACGAGCTACTCAAACCATCTTTTCTGGGCCTTCCAGAACCAACCAAATCGCCCACCGCGCGCCCAGAGCCTCACATATAGCTCAATAACTATGACGTCAAAGAGGGCTCCAAATGGGCACTCTGGGATTACCGTTAGGGGCCCTCGCGTCGTGCCACCATGGCCGGCAGAGATGGCCAGAGGTTCCAAGACAGCTTCGCCGAGGGCACCCGACAACCAAAACAGCCCAAATGACCTGAGCAAAGCACCCTAAAGCTGGGGGTTCGCGAAAAAGACCCGCCCCTGGCCCGCCGTGCTGAACCAGCCGGAGGAGGAGGAGGAGGAGGAGGAGGAGAAAAAGGAGGAGGAAAAGGAGGAGGAAAAGGAGGAAGAGGAGGAAAAGGAGGAGGAGGAGGAGGAAAAGGAGGAGGAGGAGGAGGAGGAGAAGGAGAGAGAGGTGCAGGCGAGTCAGGAGCGAGAGCACGGCCATGTGTATCCTGATGTATCTGTTACGCGGGAGCGTGGCCGTCCGGACCAAACATGTAGTCAACACTGAATATGGCCATCGGTCGGACGTCCATTCCCTGTGTCTTATTCGGTTTCGTGCGTGGTTTCAACGCAGGATGATCCAGGATGCTCTTAAATAATCCCCTCCGAGAAAAAGTGCACAAGTCCGAGCGATACCAAGGACTCGAGAATGTGATTCCTTCTATATTCAGTTCATACGGGCTGTGTGATCCGTTTACGCATTTGCCTTGGCCTTCATCTGGTATTGTGCCCGCTTCGTGTCAGCATTGACCTTGATTGCCGTATGTCGTTTGTAGATAATCTTGCCATTCGTCGGGGGCTTGATCTTGGCATGTATCTTCCGATTGTCATTGATATTGGCGCAGATGCGTAGCTTTCTCTGCGTCCGCACATGGATATTTGCGTGATTCGAGGAACCTTGTGGTGGCACTCGTGCCGCTTGCGCCGCCCATGCGGGGCGCTACTTTTTGTCACTTTCGCCACCCGCGGGCTGAAGAATCAGGAGGAGAGGAATAGAAGGACAGAGGCCGAACAGAGAGATAGAGGCATGACAAATTGGATAGGGCGGGGGAGGTGTAGGAGGGAGGAGGACACATGGAGAAAAGAAAGGGGTGGTGGGGGGAAGCGGGAGAGGAAACGGGACCCGAGGGATGGAGCAGGATGGAGCAAGGGAATCGGAGAGGGGAATGGGAGAGGAGGGAGAGGAAGGAGGAGGAGGGAGGAGGAGGGGGGAGGAGGGAGAAGGACCAAGGATGAGGGAAGACGGGGCGGAGCGAGAGCAAGAGGTGGCGGAGCATCACTCGTGCATGCTAGAAGGACTCGCAATGGCATACACATAAACTTTTGGCGCTCCGTGCGGATCTCTGGGATCTGCGCTGGAATCCCCTCCCTGGCGCGCGGATTGCGCCAGTGGCGGCGCCGGAGGCGCCGCGGGGGGAGCCCATCACGGATCCAAGAAATCCGCGCTGAGCGCCACAAGTTTATGTTTATTGCGTTTCTTCCTCCTCGAAACACTTTCCCAAAGGTGGGATCTACCGCTGGACGCTGGCACCCAATGAAACGTTTGGCTCCGAACACTTGCCTGTGCGTGCGATCTGCTGTATCCTGCTACAAAGTTACCGCAGAGCGTGCAGCTGGAAGAGAAGCGCCGACTTGGTTAACCAATACAGTATGCTTGAGTTGGGCGCGCGACATAAATGGCTGCGCCGACCTGGGAAAGGTTCAGGTCGTGCGCCCAGCTGAATGGTCTGCGCTAAACGTGTAGTGGGTCATCGCAGGTCGTGCGCCCCGCAAACATGTTCTGAGCTAAATGTTCAAGGGTGTGTCTCTGGCACTGCCGCGACTGAAAGGCAGAGAAGCATTCCAAATGTTAATGCCATCGACAGGGAGCATTTGTGAGAACTGAAACCCTATAAACGATTCCTGAAAAACTTGCGAGAAAGTCTTGGGCGAAACGGCGTGCCGGACCGGGCGGTCTAGGGATCCCCGCCTCACTTGTGGGGTTGTTTTGTGGTCCTTTCTTCTCACCACTATTAGAACCCTCTGGTGAGACCCTATTAAGGAACGCAGCTCTGGTATCGTTCATATGTTGTATTCCCCTGTTCGACTCGAGATGGCCCAACAACCAATGTGCTCCAGACACGTTCGAGCAAGTCTACATGCGCAGAAACCCCAACACGGCCCGAGATGACCCCCAGATGGCCCTAACATGGTTCAAGAACTGCCCCAGAGGATCCAAGAAGGCCTCAAGACAGCTTTAAGACTGCTCAAGACCGCCCCAAGACGGCCGCCCACATGGTTCGAAGACCCTCCCAGACGGCCGCAACACCCCCGAAGGGACGCCCAGATGGAGAGGCCAAAAGAGCACCCCGAGATAGACCAAGGCCGCCCCAAGATGGCACAACATGACCCAAGGAGGCCACAAGACGAGCCCAAATGTTTGGGCGATAACGCCCAAGACGGCCTCCACGATGTCTGACTTCGCACAATGCCAGCTGCACGATGGCCCCAAAGCCTCCATACCAAGCCCCCGAATGGCAAACCATGCAACATACCTCTTCAAGAGATTGGCGGAATGTCGTTAGGCGTAGCCTCTTGAATCCGCCGGCCCCCGCTTGCCGTGGGTGCACAGGCGTGGAGGATGATTGGCTGTGTCCCTCTCCATTTCCCCCTCCCCTGGGGCCTGACATCCGATTAGAAGGGGGGGGAGGCCCCGAGGGGACCCGGGGGGGGGTGGCCCAGGGGGAGCCCCAGGGGGGTGGCCCAGGGGGGCCCAGGGGGAGCCCCAGGGGGGTGGCCCAGTGGGGCGGGGTGGGGGCCCCCCGAGCTCCTCAATGCTCCCGCAGGGCCTCTGGAGCCTCCAATTCGACACTCGGTGGCCTCTAAGATGCCTGAAACTCGATCTACGCTTGCTCAAGCAGGTTTCCAACACGCACAGGAGTCCTCGAAGACGACCAAGATAGCTTCAGGACGCCCAATGAGCCTCAAAGACGCCCCAAGAGGGCTCCAAGACGACCCCCGAGAGGGCCCCAAGAAGCAAGAATCGTTCAAATCCCGTGGGCAAGCGTATAAGTAATTCGAACATGTTCGCATTTTTTCGTCTCAACAGCGTCCCAGACGGCCCAAGAAGCCCACAAGAGAGCCTCAAGACGGCCGAAGAGGGTCCCAAGTCCCAAGACGGCCCAAGAGGCGCCCAAGATGTCCCAAGAGAGCCCCAACAAGGCTCCAAGAGAGGCCCAATAGATGTAACTCGAACTGACATTCCGAGCTCTCGGCCGCAAGAGAACCCCCGAGACCGCCAGCAGGAAACTCCGAAGAGGCCCGAAGAGGCCCCAAAGATGCCCACAAGAGGCCCCCAAAAGGACCAACAAGAGGCCCCCAAAGGCCTCACACGTGGACTTCATCCCTCTTCTGGGGGACGGCGGAATGGCAAAAGCCTCTTGAATAAGACTCGTCAGAACTCCTCTGGTACGCTGCCGCACCTTGCGCCTTCGAGTCGGACCCGGCCCCCGAACTCAGGAGTCGCTGTGCACCGTCCTTGGAGGCGTCGTGGATGGGGCCAGAGTAGATGGGGTCGGAGGATCGCGCCGCATCGCCGATGCATCAGCGATGCATCGGCGATGCATCGGCAACGTCGGCGGAGCTTCGGCGACGCAAGCGCGGAGAAAATCGGGCTCCACTTTGAGCCGCATCGGCGATGCGTCAGCGATGCGCTGCGACCCTCCGACCCCACCTACTCGGACCCCATCCAGGAGGCCTGGAGTCCTTCCGCGAGCTCTCCCACAAGCCTTCCAGGGAAGCCACGGCGTCGTCGGCCTCGTCCGCTTCGCTGTCCGGGCCGCAGCGGTCCCCTGGCCGTCCTTGGGGGTCCCACAGCCGTGTGGTGACAGACCCCGCGGTGACCTCGAACTCCCCAGAGACCTCACCGCAGGGTCCGTCGCCACACGGGTTTGGGACCCTGCGGTGGAGGCACCAATCGCCCGAGACGTCCTCGGAGAACGACCCAAGTCCCGAAACCGTGCGGTGACCCCGAATCCCCACCGACTCACCTCACGGTGTGGTCACCACCTCGTTTGGGGGCCCCCGACGTCCGCCGGGAGCGAGGGCGGTGCCGGTGCGCGGCCCGGAGCTGCAGCCGGAGGGCGTCGGGCCAGCGCCGGGGAGCGGCCCGGCCGAGTGCTGCAGGCCAGCGCAGGTCAGCCTCGGCGGGGGCCGCGCCGGCCTGCGCGGGCGTGCCGGCCGCGGGCGCGCGAAGGTGATCGCAAGGTCCCGCAGGCTCAGCACCAGCTCTGGCGTGGATTGCCCCGTCGTCGACTCCTCCAGGCCGAAGGCATCACCCACGGGTCCGGCGAAGTCGGCGGCTCGCCTGCTGCACACCTCCGCAGGCTCGTGCCCGGGGGCCTCGCGCACCTGCTGCGCGCTGGCGCTGTCCCCGTCGCCTGGCTCCGAGGCGCGGGGCGAGCGCTCCGGCGTGGCGGTCCGCGCCGCACCGAGGGGCTCCGCGGAGCACTCCAGGAGGATGGTGGGGCAGCTGAGGATCGCCTCCCCCCCAACGACAGTTGGCATCCCCTCCGCAGGCTCGTCCTCGCCTGCCGCGTGCTGCCCCGCCGCTGGGCTGCCGGCGGCCTGGGGGCCCTTCACCGCGGGGCTCAGCGTGGCCAGCTCCTCGGCGCA